GGCAACAAAAGTGGTAGAGCTAACGGTGGACGACTACTAAGATATTGTGAAGAGTATTACGTGGGAAACTATCCTGTATAATTTCATTCGGTTCCAAAACGCCTCTCTAAATAGAGCATCCTGACTGGATATAAGAAAAAAGCAATTGGTGTATGTAGAAACCAAACTACGGTTTGGATGTTGAGGAATAACCGTCCAGGTACGTTAGACACACGCTCTTGCCCGTCGAAATCAAAGCAAGTAATCTGGTAAATAGCGGTTCTATAATTCATAATAAATTTAAATGTAAATCGTTACCTAAACAAATATTACCACCCCGCTATTCAACCAATAATTGTTCAATCAATAAAATCTAAATTACAATAAATAAAGGAGTTGATGAGAGATGAGGGCAAATTACCAGTCACAACAAATGAACGTTCTTCTATCCTGACTGGATGGAACACACACAAAAGGAGGAGCAAATCGATATGGCTACCGCCAAGAACAAGTGCCAAGTAAAACAACACAGATGCAGTTCGGGAAGAAACACAACTTAGTGAATACGTAAGAAAAACAAAAACTATAATAAAAAAATACAAGTATTAACAATTCAAACGTGATCAAAAGACAACGATGTACAATTAAGGGGATCCATAGGAACAAAGTACAAGTATATACATGAAGGGATTTTCACCAATACACAAAACATTCAAAATGGATCTTACAGTGTAGGCCAAAAATGAGTATAGGGTACTTGGAAAGTTTCCCTAAAGCTTTACGGCCATAGCTCTTATTTGACATTGCGAAATATTTACACTGATAAAGATAATAGCAACAGTGGATACTTACAGACCAAACTGGTTTCTGAAATACAAATCAACACAAAATATCTCAGTTGGTTTGTTATGAAGTGGAAACCTAAAAACCAGGGTCCCCATGGACGATGGAAATTTTATAAACTTAGAAACGACCAAAATCTTCAACGGCCATCTCGCTATACAGTCGAACATGAAAATATAAGCGAGGGACTCTTTATACTTTGGTATCGCCTTGTGGTCTGTGAAGTATCAGCGAGACTGAAGTCTCTGATCCCAAGTAAGTAACCCGAACGTGACAAAATCCACCTCGTACGATAGTGTGCCATTCCAAGAGGATTGATTTCAGTGACACTTCTGTATTGGCTCCCAAACTACCTAGACGATCTGGTGCTTCGTATCAAACAAAACAGAATGCATGCAAGTTGGAGAGCCTTAGAACCAGGATTTTTACGAAGAACCGTTTTAGGACTGTTCCCCTTTCTGGCTCCCAAGGTAAAACTAACCAGCCGACCCTAATCTATACTGATGATGCCAAGATATGGAAATCCATAAAGAGTAAATAGGATCTACTAAACCTAGGACAGAACCTTACAACAATAAGGAGATGAAAAGTGAGAAATGCGTTAACATTTAACTTATCGAAATACCGCTTTGTAAACGTTCAGCCCTATAAGATACGAACAACTTATGTTCTCTGTGATAATATCAGAATTATCTCCACATAGTGCGATCTAGAACTATGAACTACAAAGGACTTGGACACATGCACAAACTACACAAGGGGTTCACCCAAAGTAAGCAGAACTCTTCATTTTGTATAGAGAGAATTTGGTGCTACTACTCCAGTTGTGTTTCCAGAAGTATTTTAGAAGTACGTGCAGCCTCACCCCCCAAGTTCATAATATTGTTGAACCCTTCCCCTAAGAGGATATAAATCTCTTAAAATAGATATAGAATTTGCTAAAAAACGATGACAATATGGCTGGGGAATACATCTTACGAGGATAGGCTGTGACACTTGAGGTCATGGGCTACAGTATTATAAGAGGTCATCTGATGCCAGCAAAAAACATAGTAAGTACGCTAAGTCACTTCAACACAAATATCCTACCGGAACCTAACCACCGAACTCCTCGAGGCAACCTCCGGAAGATTGTAGTAATAATTTCAAACAAGAGGATAATGTCGATCAGAAGTTCTTCACAGTTCCCAAGGGTTTGTGACTGAAGATATGGGAGCTGTCTTGAAATGGAAATAATTCTCACATAAAACCCAAATAAACAATAATAAGAACGAAAACTTTAGCAAAATACCGCGGAGTCATTTCATTTCTTTTGATCCTCATCAGTTGCTTACAACCTACAACACAAAGAACAGTAATTAAAACAATAAAAAACAACTATATTTAGGGTTTTCAGAAAACCCTTCGAAGTTTATTTATAAATTATCAGTTATGAAGCTTAATAACACAGAAGCAGAAGCGTGACCATTGGGACTAGGATTTTACATACCAAAAACAAGTACTAACAGGATTGATGGGGAAGCTCAATTCGAAAATTTATTTGACCAGTTAGAAGATTTGCATCTAATGAATGATGAAGAGAAGGGATGGTTCAAATCTGAGTTAGTTCATGTTGCTGACCAATATTTCATTTCATTGACATCAAAGTCCAATATTTGATCCAAAAAAGCATCTGACAGCTGTAAGAAACATTAAACAGAATGACGAGGTAATGATCTTACAATCAGATAAAGGTTTAAGTGTCATTGGAATGAACACAGCTGATTATATCACTAAGATTAAGTCAATCCTAAACAACCGATTGAGATTAATGGTAGACAAATTCAACAAAGATTTAACTGCTTCAAAAAAATGAATCACTGGCATGAATAGAGAACTTCTAAAAAGAAAAATGGATGCTGATTTTACTTACAATGATCTAAGACCATGGTGCTCATGTCTGCCATAAATACATGGTCCACTTGAGGTACACAAACATGTCTCCCCCCCTTAGACCTGTCCTTTTAATGATCGATTCACTGTATCACTGTCCCACTCTGGTTAACAGATAACCTAGAACCAGCCTGTCAGAGATTAGCATCATTTATGTTAGAAAATTCATTCCAATTTGCTGACGGACTAAATCGTATGAATGTTGCTAGTAAGTCCATCCTTGTTCTCTGTAATACCAATTCTTGAAACTACTAATATAAATTGGCATAATTCTGATACCCTACCTTTATCAGTGTCAGAATTCGAAAAACGTCTGCTTACGTGCATAAAAGATGTTGAGTCCCAGTTCAGTAACACCATATACCATCAGTTCTATGATACAATAGTAGGAATTACACTGGTTCCAATTATGGAAGATATTTTTATAGGGTTTTTTTAAACAAAGCGTTTAAACAAGCTATTAAACAATCAAATGAATACTCCAAATGTGTTAGTGACGCGTTTATTATTACTAGCATGCAATTCACCAATTAGAACTCTTCAACGATCTACAGCACCTCTCCTACAGTTAGATTTATTTACCTTTAATTTTATCAAGATCTTCAATTAACTTATTTAACAAACAGTGTTATTCATACAGTGGCAATTTGATATGTTGGTATAATTGTCATGTTTGTATGAACATGTACGCTTGATCACAAGTGGCAGTCCATGCACATATCCTTTTCTCGAGCTTAAATTTTTGCTACTTAAATTGCTCAATAAATCATTTGCTTTCTCATATATATGCTTGAATCTTATTAATTCTTTTGACTTCTTATTCGCCTCTATATTCACTCACTCGCATTAGCATTTCTGCTCGAAATCGCTACGGCGTACGCCAGCCAAGCTTCAGTCCCCTGAAGTTTGCTGAAGCCGTTGCTGCCAGACGTCAGAAATCTGATTTATGTGTTCAAAATGAGATAGTTGTTAATCTTTCTTTGCCTTGGTGACAGATATTCCTGTATTAAGTTAAAGTTTTTTTCAACTCTTTTCTTCAGCTAACTACATCATTACGTCTTTATATTTCTACTATCTTTGAGATTTCTAATCTTATTTTATTTAACTGTTCACTTTAGTTATTATCAGCGTTTACTTATTACGTAATCGCTTGCTTCTAGCCCTTTGGACTTTTGTTATTATCAATGTTGTTGAATGTTCTTCCAAATAAGGTATATCTTTACAATATTCAGTCTATTAAACTTACTTACCCTTGTTATACTATACTAATGTGTCCTCAAAGTAACTTCCAATTAAACTCTTTCATGTAAGTAATTTAAACCCATTTTGTAATTGCGATTTTATAATATCACAGGTTGTAAGCAGGTGATCAGAACGAAATAAAATCAAATGAATTTATGCTATTCTGTGTGAATCTTTATCCTTGCTGTCTTCAGTATGATAAAGGAAATTATGTGTATATAAATAACAGTAACTATGTAGTATGCTAAATGAAATACTACAAATAAGATTAGCCATTCATTATGTGAAATAATATCAACATGATATAATATCAGTTCTCACAATATAAATTGAAATCTCACATCTTTGTTAGTTTCTTCCTTCAGTAGTATTTTTATTGATATGTCACTTTTAAGTAAGCTTCGGATAACTAGTAGAGTGTTGTCATTGTCTGTTATCTGAACAGACTGTAAGTTGTGTGGTTTACAAAAAATGTATTAATTCTTTATCTTCAAATGTTAGAGGAAGGAGATTAAGCAGATTCCAGTAATCAAGTGTAAATTATTTGTGTCATTCACAAAATACTCATGCCAATTCTTGGTGTTATACATTAGAAATGATTTTCTTTACTACCTAAAATGAAGGATATTAACCTAGACTTTATGTTAATGACTTTGATGTTTGTATTCATCTACAGAACATTCAGGTAATGGATCAATGTGAAAATACGACAAAAATATGAAATTATATTTTGATTACAGTATATCTTCTTTATTTTTTGTTTGGTTAAAGATCCACCTCATCTTGCTTCCTAACTAAGGTTAACATTACAGTTCTCTTCAAATAAATTACTTCTACAAAATAAAAAAAACCATAAACAGACAAAATGAGTATTAACTGCACTTATTTTTAATATAACAACATGCTAAAGGTAAGCAACATGATTTTGTTCTCATTTACAAACAACAAATAGGAATCAAAGAAAATATTTTTAATCGATAATGGTTTTATAATTCAGTTTATCCCCAGATTTCATCCCTCTGTTGATGAAATAATCGTTTAGTTATTTCTTTTTATTATTACTTTGTAGTCAATGTTCAATGAGTTAATTTTGTTTTAAATGTGTTACATTTGTTCTATTTTTCATAAGTTTTGTTGCTTGAATAGAACTTTGTTCAGAATTTATGAGATTTTCTTCAATTGACTCGATAGTATGACCGCATAAAACATGTTCAAATGCTTCAGTTAAACGTCCAAATACAATACCAGTAATTGCTAAACCAATAATTATGTAAATAATTGATAAAACTGCTAAAAATACATCAGTTTCTGGTACTAAATCTCCAAATCCAACAGTTGATAATGAAATAAATGCGAAATAAATTAAATCCAAAATACTCCACTCTAATTCCTTTTGTCCAGCTATATAGGAATATATCCCAGCTCCAAATGCTAGATAGATTACGAATGTTAATATGCAAGGAAGTACCTAGGTTAGATAAGAAAATATAGATAAATCAATAGTTAAATAGTTTACATGAATACATGCACAGATATATTAAGAGGAGAAAAAACGTAACTATGATACTTGAATTGAAGATTATCTATTAAACAGTTGTTTTATGATAACTTGAGACTTAGTTTTGATTGGTGACTTCCTTAGTTAGTTTTGTCATAAAAACATCTTAGTTATGGAACTACTGAAACTGATAAATTTTGTTACATTATAATTTGGTAGAATTAATTATAGAAGGATATATATATATCGTTGATCATGTGGAAAACGATCATTTGATGGTCTCTGTTAATATTTGTAGACAAAAGAGAATTATGTTATATGACTGTTAAAACAAGGAAGTAGTATTTACAAGTTACTTTCATAGTCCCCTTAAATAAATAAATTGTTGATTAATTCTCAAAGATGTTAACAAGTTTTTTTGTTGTTGTTGAAAATACAGGTCAACCAATAAAAACAATAATTAGGGGATAATAAAATGTTATGGTAGGTAAATGAAATATATTGATAAGAAACCACTGGTTACTAGGCATTAGCAAATTGGCGGTGGGTAAAAAGCGTAAGTAAGTTAATGATGAAGTTCAGATTTTGTAAGGTAGACATTGTTGTTGAAAAACCAGCGACAGTTTGGAGCATATTTATGGAGATACAATAAGTTTCTGCTTCTGCTGGACAGTACATATTTATAAGTCGTTTTGAACTTCAAATTGGACTAGCATACTGTCATGCCACAAGTTAACTAGTTGCTGAAAATTGTTATCAGTGTTATTTAATGGATATTTGGGTCTTAGTCCAGATGATTTAATATGTTCGTTATAATTTAGATCAACCTGCGAGATCCCAAACCAAAAATTATAATCGGTGATGTGAATTGATCTTCCACTGAAATGTCTAGCTAAAGTCATTGAGATTATTTATATAAACCACTAAGATTGATTAGGAAATAATCTTTCTCATACATGGAGTGTCCGTAACGCAAATTGAATAACATCATCAAACAATTAATTTAAGGAATGGTATATAAATTAAAATGTAAGATTGCATGAATTTCAGGTTTCAATATTTGTCTGACTTAGTAGGACCCATCTACTGAACGAAATGCGAATCTTCCATGAACCATATGATCACCAAATAAACTTGGAGTACGTTTTCATAGTCAGAACTACATGTTACACGTGACAGTGAAATCAGGATCACAGTTAAGTTCTCATATAATCTCTGGAGTTAGGTCGAACGGTGCTAGAAAGACGAAAAGGGGCTAGATGCTTCCGACACAATATTTGAGTTCATCAGCAGTTGCATTAAATTAAGCCGTTATTTCAGTAGTAGTTCAAATTTTGTAGGGATCATGTTGATCATCAACTTTGTCACCAGTGGACATCCGTTCGCTTAATTCTGCACATAAATGACATTTTTATCTAAGCTTCAGTTAATCTAAAAGACAAATCTTTCACAGAATATTTATTGTAGGAACTAAAGAATAATAAAATTAACAATCAAAAATTTAACATATTAAAACTTTTTGTAATCATAATCTCTAAACTTACTCGAAAGTCGAAAGTTGCATCAATTCTATGATAAGCTTCTCTTAATCCAACTGGAACTCCAGAAGGATCAAGTGTCATATAATAAATTGCTTTAGTCAGTCTGATAATAACATCTGATATTCGACTTATTAGCAAACTGCACAATGGTATGGCAATCATACCATAAAGAATAGTTAGTAGTTTACCAACAGCAGTGGATGGAAACACATTACCATAACCTGAGTTAAATAACAGTCAAAACAAATTTTTAATGTAAAGCATAAATGATCCATTAAATAGAAAGGAAAATCATACTAATAACTAATTTGATTGTTATTATTAATAATTTACTCAATTGTTTGTATTGACTAAAATCGATCATTTATGTGGACTGAACAAATTAACCTCATTATTGGATTATGATTGAAATGTATCCATATACACGATTGATCGGTCTATGTCTGAAAAGATTGTTGTTGTTTATTATCAACAAACACTACAATTATAATCAATAGCCTTCTATCATCTGATTTAATTGATTTAACAGTAAAATTCATCTTAACATAATTAACATAATGTCAGGTCAGTTAGACCATTAGATACATTGCAACTTCACCAATGGAATCTGATCAGCATTAAAAACTTTTTTTTAAAACACATGATATTGGTGACACGAAAAGCTTAGCGGTAAACTCTCAGATTGTACAGCTGAGTGACGACAGTCTCAGTCCCACAACGAGCATCAACTATCTCAAGATTACAATGACCTTTTGATGACCAGCACCATCTAGCATGAAACTTAAGTTCAGTATTTCCTGTCGACTAGCTTTAACCAACTAATCTATATCCAAAGAATCTAATGATCATCAATACAATTCTTATTATACGCTGTTTATGTTATTTGTCCAATTAGCATCATACAATTTATGTTTAAATAAGACATAGTAAAAGGGGATTACATACTACTGTTGATATTTTCATTTATTCCAAGTTTTATATAAAAACAATCTTTAAATCCTATGTGGTTGAAGGAATTCTGGCGAGATTCTAATTTATGGACGAGCCAATCAGAGGCGTTTTAGAGATTTCAAGGTTACGGCACCAACTTCGGTGCTGAATGCTAACGTACGATCGGTTCACAGGGGATTTTGTACAAAACGTGATAATTGAGCGGCTATAACAAATAAAACGGAGGGACTATAATGTGTGGACGAATCAATCAGGTATAAGATAAAAGATCTCGGATTTTAATGCGAAAGCATTTCATCCATTTGGCTAAATAAATTTCTGGCATTATAGCTGATGTCAGTTCGTGATGAAAACCCTATAAATAATTTCTAACTAAGACAAATTACGACAATTATTGCAAACTGGATAATAAAAGCACCAGTAACACTGGCTGCAGCCAGGTACTACAATATATACAGATGTTTGGAGAGCGTACAGACTCCTACATAGGCTTGGTTAAGTGCATTGTGTCGTTTTCCACAAGTCGCATTTTGTGCACTCAACAACCGGAGTGCACAAAAACAATACTGAAGCTATGTGGTCGAGGCTGAAAGAGTTTTTGAGACTTTATCATGGCTCCAGAGGCTGACTATTCTGTAGCCGTATGGATGATTTCCTCTACTGCATGCATTACGATTTTAGGACCTCTGAACCTCTTTTTAATCTTGAAAAGTTCTTGAACTACGTATTAGAAGTGTATCCACTTTATTTCCTTGGTTTTGTATAACATTTTTACTCTATACGAACTGTTTTCTGATTGGCTAATATTTCTCAAGGTCATTTAAGATCCGTTCAAAGGTCGCTTATAAATTAGAGTTTCGCTGAAATTCTTTATAAATTTAAAATACCCAGTAACAAATATACATAAACTTCAATCTTAACTATATTGTAGATCATAAAAGAAAAAAATGGAAAAATACAGAAGAAAAAACATGGAAAGTACATCATGAAAGTCCAAGTATTATGATCAATATCATAGTTAAAGATAATAAACTTTTTGATTCATATGATTTATATACATCGATAGTATATTTCCTTGAAAAACCTTAGACCAAATTGCCAAATGAAACGTTGGATTTATTTCATATTCATTTGTTGATAGTTTACAAATACATTCTTCCTCTTTAATAGTAAATAATGATTATGAATATATAAGAAAAAGTATATGATTTATATCCTTTATATTTTGTACTATCTATTGTATAGTTGCTTTATTTCCTTTTTCTTTCCTTTACAGTAAACATGAAAAGTACAATTGACCCTTTAACTATTCTATTGACATATGATACTTTTTTAAGTTGTTTGTTTGTTGTTCTTTGTTTCCCCTTCTTTAAAAAAAAATCATATATTCGGTGTTTATTAGAACTAATTGACTTATGCTTACATGAATGAATGTAATTCAATACATCTCTATGTAAATGAAATTGAAACGTATAGTATAGTAAAGTTAATTAATTCGAGTGTGAAGAAGTACCTTATTAGATAAACTTGCTTAGAATTACATTAATTTCCTAAATAATAGATTGATTATTTGACTTTGACTTAGCAAATTGACGATGTTTCACTTTTCGTGAAAGTTGAATTCAATACGAAATCATGAATGGATAATGATGAAGAGTGATGAGTTCAAACTAGAATATGAACCAGTAGTTCAGTCCTATCAAGTTTTTAATATTTCTTAAGCTAATTCTTAAAATGTTAATTCATTAAAATACTAAACTACACTGATGATATTCATATATATTGTGCAATTAACAGCTAAACATATGTGATCGTCTGTTAAAATAATTCAAAATTTACCAACCTCAAAAGATGTTTAAGATCAAAACTACATTTATTTTTTACTTGAAATGTATCTACAAGTTTTCTGTATTTATCTAGTGTCATTAGGAAGAGAACATTTCTTTATGGTCGAAAAATCAAATAATTTCAATCTGGATATAAACTCAACCTCATATAATGTATTCAGAAGCGATGTTCATTAATCACGCCAATTGGAAACGAAATTATCTATATAATAATGGGTGTAACTTGTTGTTATGATGGATATTTCGTTACATCTCATAATATGTCTTGGCCATCACAACTAAAGATATATCATGCTGAAAACGAAACCAATATCCATGACCCTTCTAATAATGTGCTGGCTTTAAGAGGGATACTTTAGGATCTAATGAGATGTAATTGTTAAAGTTTATCCAAGTGACAAGTAGAGCAATTATTAACTGATATTGTAGTGAACAAGAACACGAATGGTGACAATCGAATTTATTTGAGTACAAAAGTACAGAGCATCTCAATAAAATCTGAGAACCATATAGCAAATCGTTAATTTGCAAAATATCGATCCATCATCTCAGACTTGACTGTTCCTGTCGCAAACATCAATCCATTGTCTCAGATTTCATTGCTCATGCGTTTTCATACCAACTGCGTTCCGTTCCCGTTCTTTCCTCATCGACCTTCTACTGAAATACATTCTATGTATGACCACCGTTATATACTACCTGTGTGGATATAAGTAGCCCACACCAAAATATCATCAGATGATTTCCGGGTCATATCCTGGTAGTTAAATACTAACTTACTGGTCTGAGTGTTACGCAGTCAAAATGAGAACCGAAGGTCCTAGATTCGATCCCTGGCCAGATTTTTGGTTAGCAGTGTATAAGAGTCCCATACCACGACGAAGTAGCTGTTCAGTACTCCCAGATTTTCAACTATCTGTTATCTGATTTCAACCCATAAAGAAAAATAACCTTCAAAACTTCGGTGTTTTAGTACTGTAAATTATGCTGACCGTATTGTAATTTCATCTTTTCACTTTTCGAATTAATTTAAAAAGGTATTATGTTAGTGATATAACAAATTTCGATCTAAATTTAATTGAGGCTTGTGTCTCCTTATTCAAATCAATGTTTCCAAGAGGAAATACAAAACAACCAATAGTATTAAAAGGACAAAAAGCGGTCTCAGAGAATCTTAGGTAACTGAAAATACTTGTTAAGAAACCTTCAACTGGGGTTTCATGCTAGTTAACATTCACTAACAAGGCGCATAATTAACCCTCTTCCCTACATGACTCGAACCAGTATCATCTATTATCATAGTTAATGTCGTCTTCACTGAAGTATTTTAGTCAAGTTTCACACAGATAAAACTTTATAAACTATACTTACCAATAGTTGTAAATAATGTGAAACAATAATAGATACTACCCCAAAGATTCCATTTTGTCGGTATATCTATAGTTAATTCATCTGTACCACATAACCATGCTTCATATAATTTCTCACGATATCTATCCACTTGAGCAACTAATTTTGACCAATCAGCATTACTACCTTTTTTAGCTAACTGTTGAGCTAGGACAAAAATTTTTTGTCTTGTCTTAAAAGAAAAGAAAAAAGAGAAAGATTGTTTTATAAACATAATTAGATGATAATATAAATAAAAAAACCTTTTTCAGAATAACAGTAATGATAGTAATCATATTAAACACTGGCTTTTTTTAAAGATTAAACTTAATAATCACTGTAGTTTAAAGATGAATGATAAGTTCAATTCTCTTTTGTCTAATCTAAAGAACAACTATCTGGAGTGATAATAAGAAGGGTTTATACATATTTTTTTTAATTAATTAGTTATAGTGTGGTGTGTCACTTATATCGACATGAGTAGTATATAACAATAGTCAGGATTAGAATGTCTGGTAGTAGAAGGTAGAGAAGGAAAGAACAGGAACAGAAAGCAACTGGTATTAAAATTTAGGAACAATGAAATCGGAGACGATTGACTGATATTTACAAAAGGAACAGTTAAATTTGAAACAATTGATTAACATTTTGCAAATTAAGTATTTACTATATGGTTCTCAGAGTTTGGTAAGATGATCTGTAAAGTTGTCTTCAAACATATTCGACTTCTCCCACTTGTGTTCTCGTTCAATACAGTAGAAATCACAATGAAGTCGAATACTTGACAAGTTACATAATCATCGACGTTTATCATTTCAAATATTGACGACAGATGAAATAAACTTGATTACTGAAAAATTCTAATGGTTTGGGATTAAATCATTGAACAGTTTGGTGACTGGGTTAATAAGGGTACTAGAATGGGATGAGACCAACTAAATATCTAGTAATACACAATTTCCTTGACATGAATTAGTTCAGGACTATACAAATCTTCTATAACTATTATTTATTATTTAAACCAAACTAATGGGAGATACAACCAAAACAAAGAAGTAAACAATGACAGGTTTATGATCAACAAGAACCAGTCAACATTGAGGTGTACAGGACAAGCTTTGAACTATATGTGGAAAAATTCGAACACTTCACCTCTACCTGAAGTTTGTGCTGATGATGTCGTTCAGAAGAACGATGAAAGCCCCACGACCAAACCATCCAGCTCAGAGAACAAAACTCCATCAAAATTATCCGCCTGAGCTACAAATCTTCTCCACCATCTCACCATTAAGATTATTATTATAAACCTAAATTTTGTTAATGACTATGCTCCGTAAATATTTTACATATTGATCAACTTATTTGGTTAAATTAATCTTCCATCAATACGATCACAGATTTCTAAAGATCATTGAGCACGATAAGTATTTCATGTAATTCTTGCATGTTGACGAACATTTAACAATAGATAATCAAATGACTTCTTTAGAATTTAATAGTTGAATTCATGAGTCGATTAAAGCTAAACCACCGTGGAAAACCTGGAATCACTGGATGGCCGTTTCGTCCCACTAGTGAACTCTTCAGCAGTGCGCCGTCTAATTAAAACAACTGGAGCTCTTCTACATTGTACTGATGCTCTATTTTAAAGTTAATCTTGGATTAATTTAATTTCTACTTGTTGATCTCATGTTTCGTTTTAATTTTTGATGTATAAATATTACTCATTTCAAGCAGTTGGTGAGAACCTATGCGATTCTACTCAAATTATTGTTTTTGTTTATGTAAACCTAACAGTGGAAACCATCAGTACATCATTTAATGAAAAACTTGTATGAATGGATAAGATTTTGGATTTTAAATGCTCAAATTATGTCTAAATAAGAAGCTTCTAATAAAATGATATTGTATATTTTAATTCTTTATGATATACAACTCTAATGGATGTATTTTAAAACACCTCAAATTGTTCGAAATAATTCTGATTACAACTTTTCCTATCCAATATATTTATAGAAACAATATACAATAAAAACAACCCATTTTAAGCACCATAGATGGATGGTAGCTAGTAGTGGAATACAGGACAAGCATTCCGTCCTGTTTGAGACTCGTCAGATGAACGTACCCGCGTCCCAGAATTGATGTCCACTCTAGGACTTGGACCCAGTACCATTCGCTTCAAACGTCATCGCGTTATCCACTTGGTTACTGAGTTCTGACGGTCATTTGCTTGTGCAATAGAGTGGCGTTCAAATTTATTCGGTATTGTTTGTTTGAATCTTCCCAATGATGTTTAGGACTGAAATTGATCAGCTAGTTGGGTAACGCAATATCGTGTGAAACGAAAGGTACTAAGTTCGGTTCCCGGAGTGAACATCAACTTTGGGATACACGCACATCCGGCTGACGAGTCCCAAATAGGACGAAACGCGCGTTTCGTATTCCATTGCTAACCACCATCCATCTTTGCTTATACTAATTGTGAATTAAGGCAATATCGAGGCAATCCGTACAGGATGTACATATTCCAATGACAGACTGATCAACTGCTGTCCTAGACATAGATCGGAAAATTCAAATAAACAATACCAAATAAATTTATCTTATGAGGTATGACAAACGATTTTTTTATTTTGGTCTAACGTTATGTGTAACTAGCCTAAAAACATCTAAGGTTAAATCCAATATCCAATGGAAAATTTAATTAAAATATTGATTTGTTAGTAAACACAAAAATAATAAAACCACCAATCACATTTTAACTAATCGAATTTATAACGATCAGAATTACAATTAATCAACTAATTGTGTTATCCAGATACATGCTGGGAATATTCAAATAATGAGCACTAACCCCCTTTGAAATGAAGATGGCTACTCCTAAAGGACCGTGAAGGGTGATGAAGTTATATAATGAGCTAAGAAATCGTTGAAAATAGTAATTATTAGTTTTTTATGTAATAAATTGATCGTGATATTTTCATAACAAGAGAGTTGTAAATTTTCCCTGAATATTGATATTCTAGTTGAAAACAGATTGACAAACTTTTCAAATTTATCTCATTAGATGATACCTTGATAATTAATCCCATATTCACATAATCTTTTCATCATCTTCATCAAAATACAGGTGACTAACTTTGCTTTTCCAGTTATTTTGTCCGAGTAGTTCATAGAAGAATTCCTTAAAATCTGCAAAGTAACTTATTTTTATAACCATAAAACATAACGAACTAACTCTTTAGTCTGAGGACTAATTACTTGCTAGAGGACCCGAAGAGGCTGTGACTGGGCAAGCTGAAGAGTCTCGAACCAGGGTGAAACATCTATTCTTCATCTCTCAATCGGAAGTAGTTTTCTAAATAAAGTTAATCATTTGTGTAAGACTATAAGGCTAGTTTTAATAATAACGATACTTAGATAACTGAAATCCTTTTTAATTTGTCAAAAAATTACCCGGTGTTTCTTTTTTCTCCTCTAAATACTCACTTAGTCTTAAGATCATCAAAAATATTTTAAGAGTTATTTTTCATATTTAAAGTTCGACTGCAAACTAGATCTTAGGGTTCTGAGTCTTATTTTGGGCATTCTGTCATATAGACATGGTTTACTGATACTACGAACTCAAAGTTTCACCGTTTTACTACCTTACCATTAGTATACACATTTCGAAAAGTATCCATGCTACAGAATTATTTGATTTAGCGCTTTCCCTCCATCTTCTGTTGCATGATTTATGAAAATTCAGTCGATTCTATTAAATAGGTATATGATCAAACCTTAGGTTACATTGAACTTAAGTAGAAACTGTGAACCTTTCCATTTCTCACAAATACTTCAACAAGTTAATTTATGATCAGACTGTCTTGTTTAGAATATATTGAGCCAATAATATACCAAATTGAATTTTAAAAACTTTCTATACTCATTTATACTTCCGAAGTTTATCATAACAATTAACAAAGATTACTAGCCAGGTTATCTACAATTAAATAATAGAAAAACCTAGACATTAAACTATATAGAAATGAGAATGTTGATGAAGCTTAAATACATATTACAAGCATCGACGTAATTAATATACGTAGTTTATCCAATAAACACATGAATCAAAGTCATAAAAAACTTCATTTTACAAAATTAAAGATAAATCAGTTTTATCGTCCTTTAAGTAACCCACTAATTGTAGCAATACACTTGTCTTACCACAATTTTCATTATTCGAATTATTCGTGGAAACCTTCAAAGTTAGAGATTTTCAGTAACCTTGATGTTCCACTTTTTTTTATTATCTCCGCATGACCTCTTTACATTCCAAGAACAAAACGAAATCATAGGATAATTGATTTATGAGAGTAGGGAAGATGATCTGGCTTGGTGATTGGATTACTAATCAGATACTCGTAGACGATCATTTTTTATGTACAGGCGTATTTACATGGTGCATCACTCACCCAACAACGTCACACATGACCCACATAATCCATCATGCATTCAAGACTACTCCGAGTCAATATTCACTGTTTATAACTCAGGAAGGAATTCATTGTAGCCGTTGTGTTGGAAACCACAAGTATTTCAGTACCCCCATTTATTAAAAAATTATATCATCATTATAATAAATCTCACCTTAGATACGTGTGTCCTGGATCGCTCTTCATATGGACCTTCAATTTTTTGAAATAACAATGCACCTAGCACAGTTACTAATGCTAATATTAATATCAGACCAGGCAATGACTTCATGAATTGCACTAAATGAGATTACATTTTTCGAAAAAGAAATATTAAAGAAGTAAATAATATGTCGTAATAACATCGAATTAAAATAAGGATATTTATATATACCTCCATGTTGGAATGATTATGATGTTTGAAATCGTTATTAAAATATTTCAGTGAAGTTTAAGAGATATGTATTGACAGTTTTATTGATCTATATCAGTTGATTGTTGTTGCCATAGTATGGTTCTTATAACTAACCAGTGGGTAGAGAGCACGTTATGCTTGTTTAGTTATTTGATCGCGACTGAATTCTACCTATCAAATTGTAATGCGGCCACATATTATGTGATTCTATATCGTGTGTACTGTTCTTAGATGTTAGATGGATGGAGATAGTCGGCAGAAAACCTTGGTCCGACTAATTATAATTTAGAATATCATATGGAGAATTTACTAACTCAAGATTGATGGTACACCTTACTAACTGCTGCTAGCTAGCACAAAAGCTAGGTCCAGGGTTTCCTGTCTATAACTCCCTACTATCTAGCACACAGTTCTCAAGATTGTTGATTTTTATCTGTATTTACCGATTCCCCATTTGTATTAAGTTTTCTTGAACTCTGAACAATATTACGAACAAGATGTTTAAGCTTTCATTTTAATTACTTGTCTTGTTAATTAATCATGGACAAGATATGCTTCACAGACAATAAATAAATGTCCACATCTCAGTGTACATGAAACAGTGATAAGTGAAGGAACTAACAGAGTGTGCAAAATCTAAGCGTTTGACTGGTAAGTTCTGAAATATGAAAAAAGTTGAGTGTGATCTCATCACAAAATAAGAATCAGAAGTGATATAGTTTAAAGAATGTACCATTATTTATTATGATTCTTTGGATCTATCTAACCATTTCAAGATATTGGATAAATCACTTTATGGAAATAATTACATAGTTCACCAGGATTTCTAGATGTTTTTCATCCAAAATGTAAACAATAATAATAGAATATGAGTGCTAAGGACTATCAGGCATACGTACTTATAAACTACATGAAACTTCAGAATAAGATTCGGGCAATTAAAAATACCAAAGTCAGTGTTTTGTATGGAATATGAACACTCTTTTAGGTACTACTCTCAATATTCAACATGGAAGTATACAATTTGGGTCAATCATTTCGAATTTCATTTCTAGATCAAATAATAGTGCCAATATAGAATACTAGTAGAAGTGTTTATATGTAAGATCCCACAAAAAGTCATACTCAGAGTCAAGGATCTCCAGGTGTTCTTCGATATATTCCCTATATTGAATCAAGATAAAATTCAAGTTCATCTCTATGTAGTCTGTAGCTTCTTTAGATATACAAAAACTTATTATTTTACCTACACTTGTTCTTTTTTACTGCTTCCTGTGTACAGATTTCAATTTCTGAGTTCTAGTTATTTTTCTGTAATTGTTAACGACACACTGTTGTTATTCCATTCCACTGTTAACCCAGGAAACTAAACAAATAGTCAGGCATTCCGAATACAGGTAAAACTATTTGAGTTAAACCCTCATTAACAAAATCTTTTTCCATTTAAACTAATGAGTTCAATTATCAGTCGTATCCCCTCTACTGTCTGTCATATACGTCAGCGTGAATTCTCAAAATAGGCTGTAATAAAACTCGATTGTTTGTCATTAATAAACTTGAATTAACAATAGATTTCTTTCTACACAAGGATATCCATCATTTAATTAGTTTGACTGCAATATTAAAAAAACAATTATAAATAATTTCAATGGTTAAGATCATGAGTCAATTGAAGCTAGACCACCATGGAAAACCTGGAAGCAGTGGACGGCCGTTTCGTTCTATTGTGAGACTCTAGTGAGAAGTAGTGGCCAGTGGAGTTCAACCAGGTCTGTTGTGAGATATCTGCTCACTGACGACAATGGTGGATGTGTTGCTCAATTTCGTGGATTAGTTGAAGTTAGAAATTAACACCACTAGATGCCGGTTCGATGGTCTAGTGGTTAGGTGCTCTCGCGCGAAACCAGTAGGTCCTGGGTTCGAATCTCGTGGGAGGCGGGGTCGTGGATGCTCACTGTTGTGGAGTCCCACAATAGGACGAAACGGCCGTCCAGTGCTTCCAGGTTTTCCATGGTGGTCTAGCTTCAAATGACTCATGAGCTTAATCATTAAAATTACTATAATATCCACAAAACCCACCTGATATTAATTATAAATAACATCATTTTTAATATTAATGTGGGCATAAGTTATAGCTGAATAATAAATAAATGGTTTTCTATCAACCCGGTTTCAAACTAAATGACATAGAATAAACCGATGCAAGTTATTTATTAACAATGGACTTTTATCATCTTATCAAAGATCTAACACTGCAACTCAAGAAATACAATAAAATCTAAGTTTCATAATAATCATTCCACTTAAATATCTTTTTCTGATAATAAAATCAATATTTACGAAGTGTAAATGTAGTAAATGGTAAGATCTTCAATTGTTATTTAAAAGTATCAATGTCAAATTGAATGAAGTTCCAGGAATAATATTATTTTCAAAATGTAAACTGAGTTCGAACACTAATTACTATACATCATTCGAATCTTTTGTGAAAACAAAAGCATTGAATTAATCAGTGATTATTATTATTATTATTTGAATGACAGTTATTAAATAATAAGAATTTCTAGACTCTGTTAATAACCATGATTGGAATGTTTGTCATTACAAACATCGTTCTACTGAGATAAGTTTGATTGATTGACTAACTAACTAATTGACGAGGAATACTTTTACAAGCTTAAATTATTTCTTCGTATGACTAAACAAAATTTACATTATGATAGTCGATTGCTTTGTTTTCTTTATCAAAATAATGGCTAATTTAACAGTGTAATTATCCATAATAATATGTTACGTAATTATAGTTTACAATGTATACTGAATTAAATATAAAAGGTTTTTCAGCTTACCTACTTTGTTCATTTGCTAATCAAAACCTTTTCTTCCTTCGAAAGGTTTTGATTTATCAATGTCACATAAACAATGATAATAGAAAATATGCCAATATTCATCAAGCACCAACAACTAACCTTCTTGTGACCTTGACAGCAAGCCAATCAGCTCACAGCTATATGACCTTATAAAGGAAAATAAGCCTATCATTTCAAAAGGGAACGTAAAAAGGACTAACCGATAATATTATAGTGGGAGTGAAAAGTAATGCTTAAAAAAATCGTTTAATCATACGAATACACAGAATGTGTACAATGTACTGAATAAAACATATAAGTATGCTATAACATTAATTTTATGTAACTTAGCCAGCTAACAAGAGTTTCGTTCTTGTCCAGTGATTATACATCTGTTCAGTACATTACTATTTAAATGAAACTATTTTAAACAAGTACGAAAACTTGTCACATCTAATGAAGCTATTTGAATTCTGAAGATATTTTCACACAATTTAAACAAAGCAGGAAAAACTCCTTAAATGAACAGCAACTGCTCTAGAGCAAGAACTTCTGCTGTCTATGCTTCTCATCCTTTATGAGGTCTAGCCTAGGATATCCTCTTGCCTAATAGTAATGTTGTTATCAGTTAATCACCAGACCAGTAATCACCAATTCACATTATCCATCATCGAGTTTAGCTTAAATAATACTATACCATGATCAGTGAACACAATACAATATTTTCTATTTTCCGTTTGATCAAAACAGATCATTGAATACTTCATTATCACTACATCTTGGACTAATCTTCAATTTAATAATATTGAAGACGACAGTTTATGAGTGTTTTGTAAATTTTATCCAAAGTAAATAAAACAAACGAAAGGAACAAATTTCAACTTTTGGTGATAATTTAATCATTAGGCTTTCAATACCACCCTGGACAACATCATCTGCCCACACTCCAAGTAGAAGTGAATATTTTTATTTACTTTCTAAACTCTGAAATCAATCAATTCAAAGTCATAGAACCAAAAAACTAACTCCAATTGATAAATCTGACAAAAAAACTGGTCATATACAGATTTTAAAAACCTTAAATACGAACTATGATCATTATAGCACATAGTGATTGTAATCTCCAATAAAAACACTTAGTATGTGTGAAAGGACTTAGGAATAGCAGTCATGAGAACCCAATACACCTTCATGAAAATGTCATTTTAACGCATATTACCCAAACATAATATAACATAGCAACAGACGTAATTGGTAAAAATACACAGTAAACAAAAAGATTTAAGTAATCAATATTCAACGAAATTCCATGTGAATCGAATTTGTTGTACAGTTCTTCGTAAATCATAGAGAAATTATTGGTTCAACTTAAAGATGTTTATGATTTATCTGGTATAACTTGCTATCTTATTTCTAATTAAGTTCAACCAATTATTATTACTTCCCTTGTAAAGTAACACTTAAATACTGTTTTCCTAACGATCTCCTTCTTCTAGAAACTCTTCTTTTACTCTTGAAATTTGAGCAGGAATAATAACATTTGAGAAGAATAAAAGAAATCATACATAAAAAGTGTTAAAAGTACAGTACAGAGATGAATTAATTTGAATCTATTATTAGATTTACGAAAATAAATAACTTTTATGTGATGTCATCCTGTGGTATGTGCTACTTATATTGACATAAGTAGTATATGATGTTAGTCGTGAACAGAAAGTCTGGCAGCTGAGAGACAAGAGGATCGAACAGTAAAGAGTCAGAACAGAATGCAATTTGTATGAAAATGCAAGAACAATGAATTCTGAGTCATTTTAAGACAAATGATGGACATTTTGCAAATTAAGCCTTTACTTTGTGATTGTTAGATTTTATTAACAAGTCCTGTAATTGTGTGCCAAATACACCCGATTGTCCCCACTGGTGTTCTTGTCCACTACAATCCGAAACGAGAAGTAGAAATACCTTTATAGATTGCTTGTAACGTTAAAAAATGAAAATGAAACACTAAGTTCTTCTACCGAAGATTGAAAATAATAGTCTTTAACATATCAAATGCTCGATTGTTGTTACGGTGGGTTTAGAAGAAAAAACACGCAGATTAATCCTGTTCCAAGTTCTTTAATCTAAACTCTTAATCATTACCTGCATCTTAAGGCACTAAACTCCTAATCCTAACCAGAAGCAATCTGAGAATTCCTAAAAATCTTTCTGAGTGTATCCATTCACATGAGTTGGGAAGTCCTAATTCCAAACAAATTAACAATAAACTATATGACCCCTAAGGAATCGGATGATTTGTTAACACATTGCAATATATGAGTATTTCAATAATGACTCTCCTGAAGCTGTTTCTCTATTTTGTTGATTGAATTTGTTCATCAAGGTCTTGAATGATTCCTTAAATAATTAACCTGTTAATTCGATTCTTTTGAAATGTTTTCATTTTTGCCTACTTATTAGTAGTTAAATTAATACATCTAAGAATTATGCGTCCGTTACAATCACATTTCAGTCTATTTTTTCATTTTAAACAGACAACAACAACAACAGCTAAATACAAATCAATGAAAATCAATGAATCATGAATTTGTTTTCAGACTGGAAAGACAGAACTACATGTAAACAATCATATTCTATGTATCTATTTCAATTTCTTTTACCATTCGCTCTGTGTTCTCGTTCATTCATTAACTTCTTATGTCTATTTGTGAACCTGTAGAACATGTATAGTTTATGAATGCGAGCTTTTTCATTATCAATAACAATTTTTAACTAATTTAACTGGATAAAATTTCATTCTAGCGTTCATATTTATATATCATTCATTGTCCTTGTATGTGTCCATTATTCGGGTACTAATATGAAAATAAAATATACACACTTACATACATACATGTAAACACGGCGACGCATAAATGCAACATTATAAATACTCTATTACAAATCTTTATTTTTGTTTGCCTAATTCTATATGAAAGAGACATTAAATATGCCTTTGTTGTACAAATTTACAGAAAGGTAAATAGATAGGTAGTGAAAGAAAGGAAGTTGGATGTGCAATCCATATGTACTGTGAATAATACAAATGAAATAGTGAATGCTATCCGATTCAATCTTTAATTTTTTCTGATGAAGAATAGCATTTTATCATCAAAAGCATGGTTAAATTCATCTAATACGGTGCAAATTCAGCACAGAATTTGAGATTTTATATATTAGGGTTGCGGCTAACAGTGAAATCTAAGACACCAATTTCATCTAACTTTTGACTCGTCAGAGGAATCGAAATAGGAACATCAACACCAGGATTGAGGTATATTCACTTGAAGAGTCCTAAATTGTATGGAACACATATCCAGAATTCCACTTCTATTCACACAAAATGTAATGAAACTTATGACTAAAGTAAAAATGGAGGTATCCACCCAGAGTGCTCATACGCCAACTAAGATCGCTCAGAATTTATAAAAGTTATGGTTTCGATTCCTAGAATGGTTGTGGATGTGCACTGTTGATCAGTACTCCCAATCAATGCCAAAAAATATTTATTTATTTGAACACATAGATATTGGTACAAGAGGGTATCAGAAACATATGTGCCACAAGGATCTCATTTGATATGTGTGAGGGCTGTGATACTGTCCGGATGCCCAAACAGAAGCAGGTGGTATTCTTAGGGGGCCACATCCGGAGCCTTCGACCTGAAGGTCTGATCCACAAGGCAGTCAAGCAACGTCAGGAGATGCAGTCCAATGGTAGCCAATCACCAATAATTGATTCATACACCATTTGTTCCCTTAGGATCCCGAAGTTCATGTGCACCATTAGTTTGGAGTCAGGGTTTTCCGACTCCACTAGGTGGACTCTCCGTGTCCACCAATCCGGTTAAAGCACTGGACATTTGTTTTCCGTCCTGTCAATTTCGTAACCAACACCCCTGCCACGAGAAGGCAGTCAGTAGGAATTCCCTGGCAGAGGCTATATACGCATGGCCATGTGAGAGCATTTCGAGAGAGACAGCGAACTCTCCCCACTCTCGGCCGTACCTAACTTCGAACGGTACCCTCTAATCAATGGTAATAAAACTGACTCTAAATATTAAATGTCTAGAATGGCTGTTCTAAAAATAAAGAAACAGACTGACACCTAAATCAACAACAAAATTATTCTAGGCAGTGATAATTTAGGGGTTACGTACTTACTTACTTACGCCTGTTACTACTCGTGAAGGAGCATAGGCCGCTCACCAGCATTCGCCATCCAGCCCTGTCCTGGGCAATCCTTTCCAGTTCCTCTTCATCTTTTTCATGTCTGCTATTTCCCGACGTAATGTGGACTTTGCTTTTCCTCTTCTCCGCTTCCCTTAGGGATTCCAAGTTAGGGCCTGCTTCGTGATGAAGTTTGATGATTTGCGTAATGTATGTCCTATCCATTTCTATCGCCTTTTCCTAATTTCCTCTTCAGCTAGAAGCTGGTTTGTTCTCTCCCACAGAAGACTGTTGCTGATGGTATCCGGCCAATCTTGCGTAGACAACCATTTATAAACACTTTTAACTTATTAATGGTGGTTGTTGTAGTTTTTTAAGCTTCAGCTCCGTATAGTAGGACTGACTGCTTTGACGTTCGTATTGAAGATTCTAAATTTGATATTGGTTGAAAGTTGTTTGGAGTTCCATATGTTCTTCAATTGTAGGAATGCGACCCTTGCTTTGTTTGCCAATCCTCGCCTTTACGTCTGCATCTGAACCTCCTTGTTCATTGATCATGCTTCCCAGGTATGTGAAGGATTCTACATCTTCCAGAGTTTTGCCATCATGAGTGATTGGATTGCTGCTCTCCGTGTTGTATTTGAGGACCTTGGTTTTCCCCTTGTGTATGTTGAGGCTTACTGATGCAGAGACTGCTGCTACACTGGCTGTATTTATCTACATTAGTTCATGTATATACGATAGGAGGGCTAGGTCATCTGCAAAGTCCAAATCGTCTAATTGGTACTGAGCTGTCCATTGTATT